CCCCAAAACCCCAAAACCCCAAAACCCCAAAACCCCAAAACCCCAAAACCCCTTAGAAGCAATCAATATAGAATTAGCTTTCGAAATAGTAGTAAAAGTAGACATGGAATATAGTTAAGGGTTTAATAAGTAACTGTGTTTAATAATGAACATCTGCCTAGGCTGGAGCCTAGACAATTGATTTTAGACACTTTTATAGCTTAGCTTATGAGCTTCCAGAGCAACTGCCGATAATATAGTCTTCTCTTGCTTTCATTTCCATATACACTTCGAATGCAGGGATGCAGTCTCCAGGGTTTGAAATCCAAGAATGCTCAAGAGCATCAAAAACAGACAATCTCTTTTCTGGATCCTGATTGAGGAGACAGCTTAGCAAGTCCTTGCATTCTCTGGAGAGAGTTGGAACTAATCAATTATCTTCCTTCTCTTCATGAGACTCACTCAGGTTATCAGAAGTGTCCCCGGTGAAGAGCGTTGATTCTGCTGTTGAAGGAAAATTTCCAGTAAGCATCACATAGAGTGTAACGCCTAAAGAATATGCATCAGCCTTAAAAGCATTGAATTGATCATCGTTGCTCTTCTTTAATATCTCAGGAGCAATGTATTGCTTAGTGCCGCATCTTGATGAAGAGTACCCAAAATCAGTTTTTACTCCTACCCCAAGATCCGCAAGTTTGGAATTGTAGTTTTCATCAAGTAAAATATTATCAACTTTTACATCCATATGTGCATAGCCTTTAGAATGAAGATACGCTAGGGAATTGGTTATCTGGATAGCATAGAACTTGACGATCTCTTCATCAAAGTGACCTGATCTCTGAATAAATGTTTTAATAGCTCCTTTCTTAGCTAATTCCATGATGCAATACATGATATCATGCTTTTCTCCATTTACATTAACTACACCACTAGTGTTGATATGATACCCGCTAAGAATATTAGGATGGGCTTGAGTTTCCTGCATTATTTTGATCTCAGTCTCAAGAAGAGCTTTAGAGAGTCCTTGGCTAAATTTCCTATCCTTCCTGATTACCTTCAAAGCATAGAAATTGTGATGAGTATCTACACAGCTATAAACTCTTGAAGATCCTCCTGTACCGAGGAGCAAATCAACCTTATAGCTGCCATCAATGATACAATCTTGAAGGGAGTTATTATCCATTCTTTTTTCTTCGAATTTGTCGAAATTTATTATAAACAATCAGAATAGTAGAAAATGGGGTTTTGGGGTTTTGGGGTTTTGGGGGTTTTGGGGTTTTGGGG